AAGATATTAGAAATGATGTGTTAATTTAATGTATCCGAGGGAGAGGATAAAATGTGGACCAAATAATTTTCTGACTCTAATCAATAACAGCATTCGTAATTGATACAGGAAAAATCCACAAAAATTAATAATAATTTCTTTTAACAAGTCTATGAAATATTTTCATTAAAAAAATCAGCTCATGTATAATGATAGTCTTCATCATGGCTGTATAAAATAATACTAACGATTTGCTGTTATATATGTTTAAATGAGAGACTCAACATAGGTATGGCAGCACATAGAAAAAAAAAAGATTATAATAGCAACATTAACGTCAGAAGGGGGTAAGAGAGCGAGAGAACGAATTAATTTGTTATAAAGTTAAATGAAGCTGCAATGAAGATTAAATTAATTTTATTATGGATTTAATATAACGTACGCAATAAATCAGAATCTAAAAATCATTCTCATGTAGCTATTATCGAGTGAATGAGAATGGCTTAAAAAGGTTTATGTTAAAAAATTTTCCTGTTCGAATAATTTGCGGAGCTAATTTTTATGTCATATAGCTATGGATTAAAATTTTAATTAATATTGTATGTATGTGTGTGTGTGTGTGTGTATATCTTTATTTAAAAACATAAAAATTCACATTAAAGCTCATCATTCCCGGATTGAAAATTAAGCTTCAGCACTAAATTGTTTTATAGATGACAATTTTATGGCATTTTAAAGACAGTCTTGAGGGAATTCGATGTGAATTTGTTAAGTTTTGTATTTTTTTTTTGATACGTTGGTTGTAAATTTAAGTTGATTTTTGCATTAGATTGTGTTTAAATATAGCTATTCAGCTAGCTTCGAGTTTGCTTTATTTTATATCCTTTCCCCAAATTTGTTTCAACTTCATTTCAGCTACTAACATAAAAGAGCAGTAGCTACTTATATGCTAAAGTTCTATTTCAGTGGTGGACAACCTTTTTTTGTGCCGTGGCACACCTTAGTGGTAAGCCATGATCCAAACTGCACACGGCCTACGGTTCGTGGGGTATCTCGATTTTTTCACGGCACCCTAGTGTGCCGCAACACATGGGTTGACCATCACTGGCCTATTTTAAATTCATCTATTGGGTCGTCCATAAATGATGAAAAACTTTGATGATGAAAGGGAAGGAAGAGGTTGTTACTGCAGGAAGTGGGTACAAAAAAAGTATTATTTTATGGTCGTCAATTACGAACAACCCCCAAATAGTTATTGCTGTTATTATTAAATAATTGGTAAAAGCATTCATTTTTAAAAATATTTGGATGTTGCTTTATCATTGCCTTTTTAATCTCTTAGAACAATTATTTATTTAAAGAGTTTTTTTTAAAAATTGCATTGTAGTGAGTAGTTTATAAAATTATCGATTCAATTAAAAATCTCTCATAGCACAAAAAGGTTTATGATGGTAAAAAATGTTCTTGCGATATCTGATGGGATGCTAATAAAATTATGGATCATGCTGCTGCTTCTGGATTATTACCTTGGGCAAATGTGATTTTGAAATGATTTGATTAAAAATTAAGAAGGGGTTGTGATGTCGGAGGAATCTTGAGGTTCTAGTTCATATATAGGCGAATCTGTCAGATTAAGAGTAAGACCTATGTAGGCTGGTGGTTGGTAGACAATGAATTTCTTCCTCTTTTTTTTGTCAAGACAATGGTTCGATTCCTATCAAATATTCTAAAGAAGTTACAAACTAGGATCTTATCGATATTAACAGGTTTTAATATTAATAAGGTTGCCTTAGAACTTTCCTTGCTTGAGCATTGCAGTCAAATCAGGATTTAAATTTGTTTTGATGCCCAAGAATGTTAAACAAGGAGAATTAAGATTTTGAAGATTTAATCAATGGTGCGAAACTGATCAAAAATGAGTTCTGCACCCCCGGATTTTATAATATGTTAATTGGTTGAAATTGGTTCAATCAAGCTTTATGGCTGGCTTGATGAGATTCGAACCCAGAATCATTTTTTTGGTGTTATTTTCGAAGTTCCAGAGCTCTCAACCACTTCATTGCTGAATCAGTTTAGCAAAAATTAACCTCTTTTCAGTCCTTAAATTTTAAAACTACCTCCCGCTCCCCAAAGTCAATTTTGTTAATAATGAAACCATTTTTCCACCTTGCTTGATATCTCAACTGCATCATAAACCTTCTGTGCTACTTCAAGGCTATTATTAAGTTAAAATCATCATAAAATTCCTAATCCTTGTCATCGTAGAAGGAGATCTAAATTTTCATATTAGTAAAAAACTATTTTTATTTTTTTTTAAACTTTGATTCTCAATTTTTGAAACCGAGTGAATTTGCTTAATTTAATTAAATTTATTAGCTTTTTTTTGTATTCAATAAATTTCATCTACTTAATAATAATATTCATATAAAGTGTAAAGCCAATTAAATTTTCATTTTCATTGCATTAAAAGCTACAAATCACTTTCTGGATAATTTCTACAAATTTATCATATATCCTCAAATAAAATATCCGTCAAAATCTTTTTCATGTTTTTGTTTTCCTATAAAAATATTCTTTTTTTTTGACATTATTATTCGTTGCAAATATAAATATATATTCATGTACTACGTGAATTAAAATTAATTCTTCAAGACATTTCTAAAAAATGCTTTTGCGAATGAAAAAAAATTTGAGTTTTTTTACAATTTTTATTGATTTTTTTTTGGATTTTTTTTTTCCTTTTAATTTTTTTTTTTGTTCTTTATATATTGCTTAAAATGGTCAAATTTAATATAAAATTCTACTTACTACTTTCTCATAATTTTTTTCTTTGCATTACAACTTCCATACTTACTAATTTTCAAATGGAAGTACTTTGAATTTCTTTCTGAAATACTTTCGTGTATTAATTTTGTTAAATTTTAATTATTTTTTTTTTCTAGGAAGTTGAACTAATTAGAAAAATTTTCATTGTTTTTGAACTAAGAAATAGTCACAGGGCGTATGTACGTCTGCAACTCTTTAATTTGGAATCACAATTTGGGATGTGGATTGAAAAATTGATTTTTTAAGGATGATTTGAATTTAGAATTAAGAAGGAGGAATCAAAATTTCGATACTTTTATTATTATTATTATTATTATTATTATTATTAATTGTTTATTCATAGGAAAAGCCACCTGAAAAGTATTTAACCATTTTCAGGTGGCATAAAAACCTTGATTATGTTTCCAAACAAAACATGAACAATTACATTAAGTTACAGTGATATAAATATCGTTTAAGAACTTAAAACTGTTTAAACATTTACAAAATTTACTTTCACTATGCGACATAAGGTTCCAATAGGCAGTCATTAAGAAGCCTAACGGATGCCATGAAGACTCCTTTGTCTTGTTTTGACTCATAATAAGAAAATTAGGTTTAGAAAATTCAAACAATTCAATTCCTTTATTTTTAAAACAGAGGCGCTCAACCTTTTTTGTGTCACGGCATACTTTAGTGGTAAGCCACAACCCAAATCGTACACTGCTTATGGTTAGTGAAATTTTCTGAATTTTTTTTCGGCACATAGGTTGGCTATTCCTGCTTTTAAAGAATTATGAATTAGAAAAAAATAGATCCTTAATAATCGAGTATTTTGGTCATCAAGTCATATCTACATTTAGAAAATCAACTTCAATCTCCAATCCCTCAAATCCCAAATTGCAATCATCTCAAATAATTCTCCGAATTTAATTAATTTTGATTAAAAATTTTTTAATAAAGGTTTACTTTTATTGCTTTCTGTTTTCAAACGAATCATAATTCTTAAAATATCCATTATTTTCAATCAATTGTTCATGGGAGTGAAATATACAAATTTTCCGTAGGAACCGAGGAAGTTGTTCTATTAAGATTATCGCGACTTAAATCCTTAAGAGGTAGAAAATTAAAAAGTTACTTTTAAGCAAAGCTGAATTCATATTAAGGCTTGCTCAAAACTAGCTTTTTAATTTAAGGATTAGCTATGTTGGTCCATAAGAGTTCTGTCATGAAATGCGGTATAAAATTGATTTAGTTCCAGGACCCTATGATATTTTGAGTAATTATTGGTGAGGTTTTGTTCACTTATGACATCTGAGATTTAAAGGGAAAAGGGGGGGGGGGGGGGGTGACAACTCAAACAAACTCATTTTGTGAAAACAGGGGAAGGAAGGTCCAAAAATCATATTTTTTATGGACGTCATTAGTGAACCTTGAACCTACATTGTAGACCAAAAGTAAACCTCAAGAAACTGGACTCCGAGGATTAGTTATTTTTCAGGCTACAGTATTTTACCGCACAAATGAAGCAATCCGTAACATTATAGCCACAAGCTGTCTATAAACATCCCAAAATCATTTAATTTTGATTCAATGTTGCTTGTGAAGTGACTTGTCGGTCCTCACAAAACAATTTTATGTCAATGTGCCTTCAAGGGTGCGGAACTGATCAAAAATTATCAAAAATGATCAAAAACTGATCAAAAATGATCAAAATTTAATTAAAAAGTTCAGCACCCTTGTGTGCCTCTGCAGGACCTATCACCTAACATGTAATCAGGACAAGAATAAGAGTCCAACCTTCTGTAGACCAAATTCACTTTGTTAAGTAAAAGTAGCTAATATGTAGTTGCTTAGTTAAACAATTCCTTGGTTCCATAGGATTATCACGATGAATTATTATAATTTTTTTATACATAAAACCGTCAAATTAGGTCTCGTTAAGATGGATTTTTAACAAATAATATTGCTGCAAATGAGCGATTTTGTAGGAATAAAAAAAAATATTTTTCCTGTTTCTGTTCTTTTAAAAAATTGCTTTTAAATATTTTGTTGTTTCTTTGCTATTTCGTGATACACAAGATTCTGTATATTCTAGCATAATTTGTTGTAAAAAAAGATTTGAAGATTTACAGGTTGACATTCATAGAGACTCACATGTGAGCTTAGATTCTCATCATTATTTTTGGTGTTACTATCCACATGACGACATTTAATTACGTCACAATAATATCCTCATCCTCATCATCACTACGATATTGAATGTTTGCATCGTCCTTAAAGCATGCAGACTCTAAATGTTTATTTAAATACGATTTTAATGCGAATGTCTTGTGACATCTGCTGCACTCATAGCTTTTATCAAGTGAGTGGGTTTGAATATGAGCTCGTAAATTACTTCGATCGGCAAAAGCCTTTCCACAATGACCACAACCGTAAGGCTTCTCGCCCGTATGTGATCTCAAATGACCCTGCAGCAGCCACGGTCTCGAAAACTTTTTACCGCACACACCACAAGAATGTGTGAGTTTATGTGTTAATAAATGCATCGCAAGTGCCGGCATCGAGACGTATGCCTTACCACATGTGTGACATTTTTTAGCTGACTGTGAGTCGAGACTTCGATGTGTTTGCTTATGACGCGATAAATTGCTTGATGTTGCATATTGCTTTCCACACTCTGTACACTTATATTTTGACTTTCCATTGCTCGTGACAATCTGACTACTGTGAATTGATTTTTTGTCACTCTCATCGCTGTCTTCACATTCTGATTTCGAGGAACTTTTTCGTTTATTCTTTGATCTGCCATCAGTCGATAGTAGATCATCATAAGTATATAATTCAGCAGCAGATGTGCTACTATTTGACGAGACTCTGTGTATTACTGACGTTTTCTTACTACTCAATGCACTCATAAGAAGCGACGATGATGTGGAATGTTTGCGACTTTTTGTAGCATTTTTATCACCTTTTAATGATCCATCAATTGATGATGACGACGACGAGGATGAGGATGAAGAGGAAGAGGATGATAGGCCAATTGTCTCAGCATCGGAAGAATGTTCCGAGGTAGGAGGTGTAAGAGGTGATATATTTTGTGTTGTGACATCATAACCATTATTGATTGAGACATCAAATCTCGATGATGGTGACATTGTACGATGAATTCCATTTGATTTACCGATCAATTGATGCGATGCTGGTTTAATTTCTTGTACATTCGATTGATAATTCGACTCGGAGTGAACGATTGTTACGGCTGTTATTTGATAGGCAGACAATGGCGGTAAGCTTTGCGATAATGATAATAAATCGTGTGCTGCCTCTGTCTCCTCCGCACTACGGTCTCTAAATAATGGATGATTACCATCACACGTGTTCTCTTTTCGATTCTCATTCGTTTCACCATATTCCTTACACAATTGATCTGGCGCTAAATGCTGAGTATAAAATACCACCTGTTCAGTTTTTTTGCTATTCATGTTATTACTGTTTCGTAATGATTTATTAGTTTGATGCTGAGTTAATACAAATTGCTCTTTGAAATAGCTACTGGTGTTTTTGATACTGTTCGTATTATTATTATTCTTATTATTACTTTTAGTACAGGATGAAGAAAAGTCTGTAAAGAGAACGGAGAAACGAGAGAAAAATTAATAAGAATAAAAATGGCATGAGCAGCATAAGAGGAGAGTCAAGTTCGTATGGGAGGAGGAAAAAAATGAAATATTGATTTAATTAATTTTTACTCGCATATTTAAGTCGTGAGTGTAATTTACAAGTATGTTAGATCCTGTGGAGATTTTTTTTCATGCTCTATTTCTAAAGGTCCGGTTACAGGGAGTGCATCATAGAGAAATGAGTTCTTGTTATAACATGCATAAGCTTATATTTTCAGATAACTTTATTTACAATCTGAAATTCTCATTTTGAACATTAATTTCACGATTCACTTTTATCTTCATCTATAAATGATGAGATCCTGTTGCTCTACTATGATCTAGATTTATGAGCTGCTGTTTTTTTTTTGGTTTATCTTTAGCTTCGTTTTGTGAAGGTTTTGATATTAGTTCTTACAGAGTTGAATCTTCAAAGGTAGTTGAAAATAGTCTCTGTCACTAGTCGCGTAGATCAGTGATGGTCAACCCGTGTGCCGAGGCACACTAGTGTGTCGTGAAAAATTTGGGATATCCCACGAACCGTATGCTGTGTGCGGTTTTGGTCATGTCTTATCACTAAGGGTGCTGTATGCATAAAAAATGTTGGTTACTGTCGTAGTTGGAATGACATATTAACGTATTTGTTTGGCAGTTTGGTACCGAATTAATGCTACATCGACATGAGTATCGTTTGTTGGAGACTGAACAAGGAATGTTTCACAATTGTTGAGTTTAAAAGGCGTTAAGGCTAGGGTTTATTAATCGTTCAGCATTCAGCCATTAGCATAGAATTGTACACCTTTTTGTATGTGATTATTGACCTTTCCTTAAGAACATTTCCTACCTTAACCACTTCCCTATTGCTTCTCGAATCACATCATCGAGATCCGTCATTCATTCATAAATATAAGACAACAAATAGGAGTCTAGTATGAAATATCGTCAAGTAATGGGTTCGAATCCCACCAGAAACTAGAAATCTTGGGTAATGTGCTTTAAGAGTCATTGAAAAATGATGGATAACTTCTGAGAAGGAGTTTTGAAGCAGTAAATGTTTAATAGCTACTAGAACACTAGTTCATGTTTATGTGAATATTTCACGGAAGGTAAAATCATAAGATTCATTATGTAATGTGTTTCCCAGACATCCTTTCCTATAATAATAAATATGACACCTTTGAGACACCATTATGATCAACTGAGAGTCTCTAGTGTGCCAAAAAAGATTCATCAGAGTTGCCAAGAAACCAAAAATGTTGGCTTATACGAACCCTCAACTAAACCTCATTTATAAATGAATTTACCACATCAAACGAGTTACATAAAGGAAAACTAAAAGCCACATCTAAGAATTAACTTGAAAAATCCCCATTCCAATACCAACTTACACCTCTGACTTCAACACATGCCAGACATGTACATATTATGCTACAAAACCAAAATATAGTTGAATTTTAATTAAGTGTTATAATAATATTGCGATAAACTTAAACTCAACAAAAATTTTTCACCCTCAATTCCTTCCACTTGTCTTCCACAACATTTTTCCTTCTTCCTAACATCGGAAAAAACTTTTTCTGTCTGTGCTGTTTGCACACCAAAAAAAAAGAAGCTATTTGGAATATAAACGGAAATTAAATATTTTATTGCTAAAAGCATTTTGACTTTCAATTTTGGGAATTTCATTCATCCCCGCCACACATATTCAATGAATAGAGAAAAGTGCATATGAAGTGTTCAATATTTCATAAGTAGCACTACAAAAAAGTGCATTTTATCATATAACAAACTCTCGTGACTTTGCTTTTATTTGCTTCAGTGTCGTGTCGTTATTGTGATGATGTTGTGTTATTGCGGCGAGGTGCAAATATATATAAATTTTTTTTAGAGAGCTGAAATCTTTTCAACAATGCATAATGCAATTCATGAACCTTTTGCGATTTAACAGTTGCAGAATGAGAGCAAAAATTACACATTGAACAAAAAAAAAATATCTGAATGACGGATTTAGATGAAAGATGCATGAATGGTGGATGAAGGAAAATATTTTGATGTGATGTGCGATATATCGATTTGAGGAATGAAATTCCGATGAAACATAAATCGAATGAAAAATTTATTTATTTCAATTGCAAGCAAATCGTTTTATGATGTTTTTCAATATTTTACATATGTATGTGCAGACACACACGCTTCAATCGAGTTGTGATGACTTTATTTTTTGGAGTTTGATATTTTTTTAGAGATTTTTATTTGGTCACTTAGGAGCTTTTAAGTGATTATTTTGTTTAAGGAAAATTTGTTATATTTTCTGATTTTGACATTTTTTTTTCATTTTAATTGCACTTTATTGCATTTATTGACGACATAGTAAGTAATAGTCTGTTCAATTGCGCACTTTTGAGCGAGACAGTCCCACTTTTTGAACCTATTTTTCTTGCTTAGAGCAAAAACGGCACTGCGATCGATGATCTGTTTTAATAGTAAATCGGGACAAATCTCGCTGATGAACAGCCTATATAGAAAGGATAAGCTGAGCATGTCATTCTTTTAAACACATTAATCTTAATTTTTGCCAATTCGAAACCTCTATTTCAATAATGGAGCATTGGAACTAAAACTATAAGAAGCGTAATCCCTCATGACAAAAAAAAAGCAATAAAGTGTCTTTGTGCAGTAATTGGTAAAGCGTTTAGCTTAATGTGGTGTGGTTTCTCAAGACCCCGTCGGTTCAAATCCTACTACTTCACAATTTACTCTTCTATGAAAGTTTAGATACTTAAACAGCTTAATATAGAAGAGATCAAGACGAAATAAGAGCTTTTGTCAAGGTTAGAGTCAGGAACTTAAAGTTTAGTATGTTAAATTGCAACACGAGATCAAATGTTACCTTGTGAATAGAATATCGATAGAATAAATCTGAAAGTATCAACCTTCCAAACGCGAAGAGTTCTGAGTTGACAACAAGGTGTGTTGACTGAAACAAGATTGCAATCACATAGACAGAAACTCTTAGTTCCAAATTCAAGAGCTCTAAAGTCGATTTGACTCAAATTTGACAATGTAGACTTCGAGTTCTATCCTTGACTCATTCATCAGTTGAAGACCAATCAAACTAGCTGCGTTAAACAATTAATAATGATCCGTAAAACCTAAGTGAGCACTTAATTTTCATTAAAACTTGCATATTAATTCTAATGTCCTAGCACACCCGACCCACATACATTGCCAATTGACTGCCGCTTGATTCTAATTATCCTATCAACTCGGCAGTTGGGCGGTAAACATTTCAATGAATTTCAATGTGCGACGATCGGAACAGCTTAAATAAATAAACTGAAAATTCCACTTTCCATACCCTGACATTCTCATATAATTGTATTGACACAAATCAAATATTTACATGTCATGCAATTTTGCTTTATGCTAGGTACACAAAAAAAAATCTTTTTATTTTATATTCATTGAAAAAAAGAAATAAATTTAAAATTTAAGCAATTCCCATATTCGAGAACAATAACATATGAGCATAAATATTATTTTTATATAGCTGTGCATTGAATAACATGAAATTAAATTTTTTATTGACACCAAAGAATTAAAAACTGTATTTTCTGCATTTATTAGTAGGTATGCATTGGCTCTCGATTTTTGTCCATAATTGAAATGTTTTCTCAGGACGAGAACGTAGCAATTCACACTCAATAATTCGTAAAATACATGAATGTGGATACAAAATAAATATATTGTACAGAAAAATAAATTTTTCATGACTGCAATGAGTTGCAGCAGTAAGGCAACGACATTCTTAATTTATTTTGTTTCGTAGAGTGCAAAAAAGTCCTTTTTAACCATTCCACACAGCGCGCCATAAATGCCAAAAAAAAGTTGTTACTTTTAAGTAGTCTCTGCAGGTTTTATGTACACCACATAAATATATGAATGTATCGAAGTTGCTGCAGGCGACGACAAAATAAAAAAATAATTTGTAAAAAACAACAAATTTTTATTGCTGCTTTGAATAGGATTAAGGTAATTTTGGAGGCACTTTTTGGCGGGGTGGCTGGATGGTAGATGGATTTTAAGAATAAGTTGATTATTTAGGGTTGGCTGGAGCTCTTTTCGCTTTATAAGACTGTTTACAGCTTAGAGAGGTTCCTTGAAGTTCTTAAAGATCAAAATACAGTCAAATGAGGTTCTTTAAGGTTATACTGAATTTTTGGTATAGGAACTTTGAAGTTATACCAGATTTTCGATTTTGTATAAACAATTTAGAGTCAATTGAGGCTGTTGAAGATCATTTGAGAGTATTCTGAGTCAATTTTGGCTCTTTTAGGATCTTTTGTGTCAACAACAGCTATTCTAGGTTATCTTGGTCAGTAAAGGCTCTTCTAGGTCAATTGTGGCTCAAAACGACTCAATAGAAATGCATGAGATTCGAACCAATGCACCTCATGTAAACGTAGCTGTTACTTAAGTTCTTGAGCTATCTTGCGGTACCAGAGACTATATCCTACCATGACAAAAGTTCCTTTCTATCAACATCAAATGCACATTCTCTAAACTGCGCTTTTCTATCACTAAAACCAACCAACCGTCAGCGAACTTTATTTGTTTTCTACAAAATAAGAGCGGAAAAGGCGGTTCGGGTGGGAAAAAAAATTTCACCATAAAAAATTAATTTATTGCAAAGTGCCACTTTTTTAGTGGATTGTGCACACATTTTTGGTGGTATTTAACTTTTTAGAAATGAAATTTATTTGTTCACGAAACTTGTTTTACTTAATTTATGTCACTTGACGTCTCTTAAATCTTAGAATAACTTAAAGTCAAAAAGGAAACAAGAAACTTTTTCTTCGTTCTTCTTCTTCCGGATATGACCTCCTCCCTCTCCATGAAATGATCTATCAAAAAAGTTTTTCGACTAAGTAAAATCAATTTTATAATCCTGAGGATGATTTTTTTGTGTGGCCACAAGTGGCTATGTGTGAGTGAGAATAACTTTTTTTTGATTGCTGTTTCGATAATTTAATGGACATATTTTAAAGGGGGTTCAATTCTTACACCACAGCAGCCAAATAATGTGCCATAAACTAACAGAAAAGTTTTTGGGAGACATATAAACATTTTCGGGGATACAGCATAGATCATATGGAATTGAGTTAAATTTTTTATTTTATTTTAAAACATATCTGTTGTGCTTCTTTTATGCCGAAAATATTTAATGGACTATGGTTTGATATATTGTTATTTTTATGGATTGCTCAATTTTTGAGAGACATAAAAAAAGTTTCTTTTTAGCTATTTTAGAAGTTTTTTGTGTTTCATATGAAAATTTGTATTTTTCAAACAATTTCATGGGATTTAAATGTGGAAAAAGGGGTGAAAAATTAAAGGAAATGGGATTTTATGCTTGATTTTGGTGCAATTTTTCTTCAGTTGAATTTTTTTTTGGATTTTAAAGAATTTTGTGTTTTGTAAATTGATGTCAATTTGGTGAAAATTTATGTGATGGGATTTATGTAGCTGTAATTAGGAAATGGTTTGTGCCGTTTGATTTATTTACTTGAAATATTGGCAGTTAGAATAGCTAAGAAATTAAGAGCTTTTGTCAATTTTATTGAAAAAATTTGAAAGAAATTTGAAATTTTTGAAAGAATTTTGAGATTTTTGAAAGAGATTTGAGCTTTTTTGAAAGAGATTTGAGCTTTTTGAAAAAGTTTTGAGCATTTTTGAAGAAGTTTTGAACTTTTTGAAAGAGTTTTGAACTTTTTGAAAAAGTTTTGAGCTTTATGAAAGAAATTTGAGCATTTTTGAAATAGAAATGATTTTTTGAAAGAGTTTTGAAGTTTTTTGAAAGAGTTTTGAGCTTTTTTGAAAAAGTTTTGAGCTTTTTGAAAAAGTTTTGAACTTTTTGAAAGAGATTTAAGCTTTTTGAAAGAGTTTTGAGCTTTTTGAAAAAGTTTTGAGCTTTTAGAAAGAGTTTTTGAGCTTTTTGAAGAACTTTTGAGCTTTTGGAAAGAGTTTTGAGCTTTTTGAAGAAGTTTTGAGCTTATTAAAAGGGATTTGAGCTTTTAGAAAGAGTTTTGAGCTTTTAGAAAAAGTTTTTGAGCTTTTTGAAGAACTTTTGAGCTTTTGGAAAGAGTTTTGAGCATTATCAAAGAGTTTTGAGCTTTTTGAAAGAGTTTAGAGGCATTCGAAATTTTTAAATCATAAAATACGAATTTGAACAATTTTTCGAATTTTAAAGTCTCCATCATATCAAGTTTAAAAGTCAATCGTGTCACTAGATACCTCTTTCCTATCCCATTGTGTTTAAAATAAAAATATTTATCCAGAAAACTTTTTATTGCACGATCAAAAGCCATAAACTTTAAAATACTATCTCCAACAATCCCACACCACAAAAATTCCCAAAAAATCATTCGAATTACGTTAAATAAAAACTTTAGCTGTTTTTAAGTACACGAAAAAAAAAAACAAAATTATTTTAAAGTACACCAATAAATAAATTTACACAGCACCATCAATATAATCAATACGACAGTGCAATTTAGTAGAAGAATAACAGCAAGGAAGTAAACTTTATGCCATAAAAAAGTTATTGTCAAATGAAAAAAAAAGTAAAATAAAAAAAAATATTAAAGTAAAGTAAGGAAGTTAATAATTTATTACTGCGAAACTTACGTGAGCTGTTATGCATCACGTGTTGCTGTCACAATTTACCATCATCTCTCATAGTACACAGATATCGTATAGTTCATGAAGGTATGAGTATGAGTGAGACACTTTCCATTGTAACGTGAAAAAAAAGAAGGAGGATGGATGTAGGCGATGGAAGAAATAGTAGAGAAGTAAGTGTTCATGTTAATGCTTAACATCACATCACACATCGCACATATATATGTGTATGTATATAAAAGGAAGAGAAAAAAGTGTATAAATTCATAATATGGCAAGAGGTGGTTGTTACTTTATATAAAATGTATTTTTATTTTCCATGATACCAACATTACATGTTCAGCTTAATTATGCAACCTGTTGTACAGCATTTTACTTTACTATAGTGAAGGATATAAGAGAAACTTTGTATGTATGTTTGATGTTATGCTCTAAGTATACCTGATGTTGTGACACTTTTCTTTTATGTGAAATGTTTAAGAAGAATGCTCGGAAAAACGAGGAAGTTCAAGTTGTTAGAAATTTATTAAAATTATTTTTTTTACTCTCTCTCTCCATCGCACTCACTAGTAAGTGTGTGTAATATTTTTTTTATTAACAAACTTTTGATACTTAATGAAAAATTTTCCACATTTCTTAACAAATAGTTTTCTTCTTGCTTTGTTTACTTTTTTGAGAGAAAAATTCCGGCGAAGCATAGAAAAGCATTTTGTTGGGTTTTTGAAGTAATCGAAGAAGAATGATGGAATTTTCTCTTGTTTAATTTAAATAGAGGGAAAAAATAGATGAAAGTTGATTTTTGTGAGATAATATTGAATTTGTTGAATAAGTTAAGCTTTTCAGTGGTTTGCTTGGTAGAAGTTATTTAAATTAGTTGATTAAGTTTTTAATAATACTAAAATTTTGATTCAAAAACTTGTAACGTTTTTCTAAAATATAAATTTCTGAAGAAATCTAAAAAAAAGAGTTTCGTGCCCCTTTAGTTATTTATAAATAATTGAGTTTCATTCTCTAATTTAAGCAATGAAAATCTACAAAAATAAACTTTAATTTAATTATTAGACAAAAATAACTTTTGATTGTTCAAAAGAAGCATCAGCACAACAAGTTGCAATCGTAATAATTGTATTTTGTTTAAAAAATTAACAATAAAAACAAAAAAACTTTAAATATTTTCAAATAAACAAGAATTTATGGAATTTTGAAGATTAAATAGAATAATAAAGTCAAAATATGCCATAAAAGTGAATTGTTTTAAAGATTCTTACAGAATTTGAATAAATGTGAAGAAGTTTATACTCAAATTTGATCTTTTAGTTGACACAGAAATACTTAATAAGTTTACAATAATCTAGAGATTGAAAATCAATGAAATAGTTGACGATTCACTTAAACAAAAACCTAGAAGTTGGCTTTAATACTATACATTTCGTACCTTTGAGTTGTAGGTGCTATTAAAGGCTCTATTGCGTTTAATAATTCCATTAAAGAAATTTTACTGACACGAAATCTTGAAATAAATTCAAGATCGTCCAAAGTTTCCATGAAATCTACACGTTCGCGAAATCTTCTTTCTTTTGGAGCTCTAATATCATTAATCATGTCAATGTCACTATCTATATCACTTCCTATATTCATATTAAACTAATTAACAAGAAAAAACTACGTTAAATCAAAAATCAACTAAAATAGTTTATTTTTTTTTTCAATAATCCTAGGATTATCCTGAGATTATTATAAAAATTCCGAGATTATCCGATTTCAATCTTTGGGGGACCAGGATTGACATTATCAATAATTCGATCCGAAGATAATCCAGGATTATCCTCAATCTTTTTTAGTGAAAACCATCATCCGAAGATTATCCCAGGATAGTCCCAAAAATTGGGGTGGATGATCCGAAAACGAGAATTATCCACTTTAGTGAAAACGGCCCTAAAAGATTCATTTCCTATCTGCTTAGTCCAGTTATCATTCTAAAACATAAATTAAAGTAAAAATCCATCATAATTAAAAATCTCTGACAACAAAATTACTTCCAACAATTTCTCAGGATTACTAAAAACCAAAAATTAATTCCTCTTAATGCTTCTGAAATTATTTCATGTCCCAATAATGTTTGTTCATGTATAAACGAATTAAAATATTCACAATTACAAATCAATCATTCATCCATGAAATTGGCATTTTACTGGATACACGTGAGTGTGTGCGAACAAAACAATGAGTATTAAAAATTTTTAATTAAAAAAATTCATAAAATTAAAATTAAATTTCATGTTTATATCAATATAATACAAATTTTATGAATCAAACATGTATGTAGCTACATGAGTTTTTGGTATATTGGAAATTTAAATTGAGAAAATAACATCAAAATGCAATTGCCAATTGATTTCAATTGATTGAGTCTATATGTTCAATTTAAATAGATGTGGAACATATACAGGTATGAGAGATATAAAAGGTTTTGAGGAGAAGGATAATCAATAATGTATATTCTAATTTGAATTGCATTCATATTTAATGCTTTTTTCAAATGCTCAAAAAATTTCGAGATGATTTTTTCTTTTCAAAATTCGTACTAGATTCTTTAATGTAATATCCATAAAAACTAAAGCCTGTACACAAGAATGGCGAGGAAAATCAACAAAAAACTATTCCAACTTGTTGGGACTTCCATGAGACGAATCAATTATTCATTCATAGCTGCCAAAAAAAGAGCTTTGTATTTAAATCAATCTCGGTCGATATTTATGATGTTTTCATTACATGCCTTTCGAGCTTTCATTTTAGATTCTATTCAACTACTTTGAGTAATGTGTTTTGTGAGTTTGTACATAAATACTCACACAGAAGTTCCTTTTTATCTGATTTTTTTTTTATTGAGTGATGTGAATTTTACTAGGTTTATTTGATGGTAGATATCAAGAATGAAGCTAGGGAATGAAATCTTGGTTTTGCAACTTGTTACTTGCTTGATTTAAATTCAAATTAATTGCTAAATGATTTTGGTCAAATCAAACAAAATCTCAGTTTATGATTCTCGGAATTAAAATCATTTTACCTTGCATATAGTTTTGCGCCCCTTAAAATATATTTGGCTCTTCTTTGTGTGAGATTTTCGATTATTTGAGTAGTTTTCACCAATTGTGTAGTTTGGTGCCCTTTTGTGTAGTTTGGTGCCCTTTTATGTAGTTTAATGCCCCTTTTGTAGTTTGACGCCCCTTTGAGTAGTTTGACGCCCCTTTGAGTAGTTTGACGCCCCTCTGTGAAAGTTTACATTCCTTTTGATTCTTTGAGGTCTTTTTCCACTTAATCCTTCATTCTGCTATGCCATTGATTTCACAAAACTTATGGGCGATTCCACGGATGAATTTTTACAAAAAAACCGACTTTGAATCAAATTTTCTCTCAAACAAACGACTTTATAGCTCCAGTCTTAACACTTACTTATGTAAATCACCGAGATCTATCTTTATGTATAATTAACTTTTGTCGTCAAGCTTTAATTAATGAAATATTTGGATTTTTGTCAGCGTTGGTATATTACACAATGTTGAATTCTGTGTTTGACAGCAAAAATATACGACTTTAAAGACATCTAGACAACTATTAATGGTTGTTATACCATTCATTCTATCCTTTTTTATGATTCTGCATACTTAAATTGGCTTGAAAGGCACTCAATTGTCAGAAAAATGGAAAATTTTAATGCATTTCATGTAATATACCAACGCTTAAGCCAAATCCGTGAGAAAATGATTTTTAAAAAGCAAATTTTTACTTTAATTAACAATTATTTCTTTGATTAGAATGTTGTTTCTAAAAGTTTAATAGTCAATGAAGATCTTTAACTTGTTTTAAAAAATGTGAGCTTAGTTAAAGTATATTTTTGAAGCAATTAAATTTTTAAAGAACATGGATCAAAAATTTATATTTTTCGAAATTCAACTCATCCGTGGAATTGCCCTTATATTCAAAATTAAATTTGACCGTTAAATGCTTTAACATCCGTAAATCCCCATTTCCTCTTAACAACTTGCGCTCTAATCCACCACTTCATCATACAAAGCAAATCTGACCCTTTTAAACCATTTCCATTTCCATTCCTATCCACAAATTTATTGATATCAAAATGTATAAAAAAGTAACAACAAACCATGAAGTGTATTAAATTCTCCTTTTTACATTTTCATGATATGAAATGAAGGAAGCAAACAGGCACATGCAACTCACAGTGAATAATGGATAAAAATGGCAATAAAAGGTAGATATAGACTGTTTTGTTGTGTGTAGACTGTTGATTGAGCTGAGGTATAGAAAAATATGGTTTAGTCATGTCATGGATAGATGAAGAGGAGAGAAAGAATCATTTAACATGAAATATTGTGATTTTGGTAGTTTTTTGCTGTTTGATGTGGTTGGTATCGAGTAATGGAAATAGTTCCTTTTGTTTGTTTTTGGATTGTAAAGATATGGGTTGGTGGGTTGAGAGAGATTGTGCGGTGAAGTTGTATTAATAGTCTGAAGGTTGAGCTTTTGGTTTTTGTCATTATTATTTTGGATTTGCTTTATTTCTGTTATTATTAGAATTGATAGAGGTTTTGGTCAACAATTTTAATTTAAAAATGATATTTTTTCAGTTCTAAGCATATCCTAATCTTGATCACATGTGCTGTCTGACCAAATATCTCTGGACTAGTATTGTCCTTGAAATGATTATCTTTCGGATTTGATTTTATCCTTGAACTGGTTATATCTAAGAACAAAACATATCCTCAAACTAATCTTATCATTGTACTAGTTATGTTCTGTAATTAATCGAATACTTGGGCTGGTTATATATCGGAACTAAACATATCCTTGAACTGATAATATCCCTGAATTAATCTTATCCTTGAACTGACTATATGTTTGATCTAATCTTATCCTTAAACTGATCATATTCCAGAATTTATCGCATCTTTGAACTGATCATACCCCTCTTCTAATATTGCCTTTAAACTGATCATATCCAAGAACTTTATCTTATCATTGTGCTGGTTACATACTGTAATTAATCGTATCCTTGGGCTGGTTATATCTTAGAACTAAGCATATCCTTGAACTAAAATATCACTGAATTAATCCATCATTAAACTGCTCATATCCTTGAACTAATCTTATCCTCAAACTGATCATATTCCGGAATTTATCTCATCCCTCTACTTATATTGCTTTTATACTGATTATATCCCAGAGATTTATATTATCCTTGAACTGGTTATATCCTGTAACTAATCGTATCCTTGAAATGATTATGTCTAGGAACTAATTTGAACCTTGAATTTACCATACCTCCAAACTAATCCTTTTTTTACTGATACATTCTAGAACTTAATCTTATCCTTAAACTGGTAATATCCCCAAACTAATCTTATCCAAACAACTCGATTAAAATAATAATTAATAAAATCCCCAATCAACCATTAATTTTTCAAGCAATCAAACTCTCAAAACTACAAACTTCTAAAAGTTTACATCAAGGAGCTTAGTAAACATTCCACTTCAAACTTCCCAATAACAAACTTTTTAAATGCTTGCTCCCAATGGGAGTCTATATTTAATATCCTGAAATAATGCCATTATTTATAGCATATTTAGTATGTTTGCATTATGATCCGAAATAAATTAATGTTTATGAGGCATTACATACAATATATAGTCTCTGATTTACATTCTCATGCACATATCATCATTCGATGACGATGATGTATAGAGCATATATCCAGTGTTTAAATAAACATAATGCATTTGATTGATGAAGTATTGAGGTGAAATTAAATTGCCTTCAAAAAAAAAAACTGTTCAAGCAACAAAAAAAAAAACTTTTTCTTCATTTTTGATTACATGACATGGTAAATGTTTGATCAATATAGCAGCCAGTCAGTCAACAGCAAATGTGTAGGCGAGTGTAGAAAGAAAAAAAAAGTTTCACATGATTTCTACCACTCATTTCAATTTGTTTATTTATTATGAAAATGTTGTTTTTATTCGATTTTATTCGATTTATGTAACACAAATCGAGCAAAAAAATTATTTTCCTTTTTTTTGTGGCATGAAGGATGGATGAAAAAGTTTTATTTTCATAACAACTCATTTGTTGTGAGCAGGTGAGAGAGAGTGGGAAATATGGTGCAGTTTACATGCAAAGATTTATGAGGAAGTTGAAATTGTAATTTTGTATTGATTAGAGGCGCTTTCAGAATTCAATAAATTTATTATTTAGGTATTTTGGGGTCTGGTATCGTTTTCTAGGACTACTTGGGGTACTTCACTATAGTCAGATCGATATAATATATACTATCTTGAATATAGTAAATCGATCATCGATTCTGGGATAGGATACTTCTTTTAGCATTATAAACCAGCCTCTGGACCTCACTACATACCTCTATTTAGTCTCATGATCGACACTAGGATAGCTTTATATAAGTAAAAAGCAAATATTTAATTTGTCAACATTTGGACTCATTTGAGATGAGGTTTAGTAACTTAAAAAGTGAAGAATCGTGAGATTGACCTAGCAAACTTAGATTCGAATCTCAAGAGTTTAAAAAGCCATCTTTCAATCACAAAGATAAACTTTTGTAGTTCAAGAATTCAAATTTGAATAATTTGTTATATTCAGAGTTGCGATACATGTCGCCTGTCACAGGCACACGTGATAGATCTGTTGTATTTGTGGGCAGATTTGTGACGGATCTATGCCTGTGACAGATCGCAACTCTGGTAAAATATGATCAATAAATTCAATTTCATTCATACAAAGCTTTTAAATCAAAGTTAAAAAATTTCAACGCACCTTAAAATTCACAAAAAATCATTTAAACTTCTTTATTTGCTTCCGAAATTCTGAGTCTTGTACAAAGTTTTAGTTCGTTCATCCATAAATGAGCACATTTCTTCCCATGTTGAATCAGCACCATCATAAACATAACGATCCCAAGCACGATTTGTCTCTTCATTCATGCGATCTCTCACAAACTGCTCAAAAAGTAAGTCAACCAATTCATCACTTGAAACGTTCAATTCATCAAATTTACGTCTGATTACATTGTAGTGGACCATAATTCGTTGGATCTCCATGGCAGTATTATTCTCAGCTTTTTGGATTTGAAATAATAAAGATGTATAACGGAGCAGCAACAGTCTTCTTTCGCCTCGAGATAATCTTGATTTAGTGGATTCAGCTTGTTCTGTCATCTTTTCTTCCATTTTAAGGAACAATTTTTGACTTTGTCAATTAAAAAGTGATTTGAAAATTTAAATGAATGAATAAAGTCTTAAGTTTGCTGTGATTTTTGGTGATTCGATAAATAATAAATTTACAGGAGTCTAAAAATGACATAAAGTAACAGACTAGCAACCAAACTGCACAAATGATTCTACTGCAGCAGAATTTAAAGCACAAGAAAAAAACAATTTAAAAGTTGTAATGAAAAAGAATTAAAAAAGCACACGTAAAATAATAATCCACACTCATGCAGCCACATATCGATGAATGAATGCATGAGAACCATATGGAATGAATGAATGAAGGTAGAAAAGTAAAGTTAATTACAATGTATGTAACTTAACGTACACTGATATCCTGATATTATTATACATATTTTTATTATATTTATACAGTGTAGAGTTGACGCCTGTTGCTGTAACCTGATTGTATATGCACATATATGAGTGATATGGAGGAAAACAGAATAAAAATATTTACAATAAAAAAAGGAACTGAGTGAATATGGCAAAGTCAAGAGAAAGTGAGTATTGTGCGGTTATATGATTTTATGCGAAAAACAAATAAACATGAACAGCGGATGACATGCCATGAATTATGACTTTATTATATGTCATGATACGCAAAATTTTATTACACTTTTACTGTATAGCACTGACTGTATGGTGCTTTGTGTGTTTAAAATAATATCATAACGAAAATAAATGTTGTTAATGTTACTGTGAGCCACTTGAATCCCTTTTTTTCCATTTTCATTTGTTTGAGGGTCTTTTTTTTTTTATTATATTTAACCTTTAAACTTCTTTTACGCATACTATCTACACATGTTAGCTAGCTGTTGCTCGCACCCACACCTTTTCACACATTGAGGAACAACAAAATTAATACAAATTCGCACCATTGCATGATGTGAATGAAGGGAAAATGAGGCATAATCATGAAATATTTTGAGGGTGTTATTTGATAGTGATGTCTGTAGCTAATGTGATTTTTTAAAAACTATCTTTTTGGAAGCCTTAAATTATATAAAAGTAGTTGCTAGGGTCTTTAAGAATAAAATAACCCCAAACCCCTATAAAAATTGTAGACAACTAGGGTCACAACCTAGTTGCAGACTAAGGACAAATCCTTGGACAGATCTTTAATTTAAGTGAGCTTTGTCCAAAATAGAAACTTAAAGTTTAAAGTTGTCATCAAAAGACGAGTATTGCTAGCGATTTATGCACTTGTGAAGGAAGGAGAACAGTATTGAAGCCGACAAAATAACGAACTATATCAGTTATTCCAGGATGCTGATATTATTACGGTTCTCCGTGCAAATCGCTTGAGATGGGCTGGACATGTTTTTGAAACGTCCACAAGATGCCCCCGTACTTAGGGCAGTGTTGTTCAAACTTTAATGAGCAACGGCACACTTTGACTTTAGGTATTTTATCACGGCACACCTAAGGATGTTCTACGGCACACAGTTTGGACCACACTGACTTAGAGTAACAGTTGCAGACTTTATGGATGGCAAGAGATCTAGAAAAAGATCAAAAAATCCCTGGATTGAATATATTGATAAAGACGCTAGAGTCCTTAATATATCGAACTGGTAGAAGTTCTCAAAGTATAGAGCTGTCTTTAGACGGTCTCTAAACGCGGCAATGTACCCACGTGCCCTCCAGCCAAATAAGTAAATCAATTTCTAAAGCTTGGACGGCATTGGTTAATAACTCCTAATGTTCATGCTGTTATCAATACAAATACACACACTTTAGTCATAAATGGAACTGAAGACATCACCATAGCAACGATGAAATGCTAATTTACTCTCGAATTGTTAATACTTTCTTTGTCAAGATTCTCATTTGTTGTGAGAGTGTTTTCATAAGATCATTGCAATAACAATGATAAGAAATACGTTTGAGTTGATTGACATCATACAGGGTTGGGGGTCCTCGATTTTAAAAAAATGGGTTTATTAGCGTTCATATAAAATGGGTTACATCGATCAAAATCAAACTTAACACAGTAAGTTAGGGATTTTAAGCTCAATTGTATCCACTGGTCCCCAGCCATAACAATAATAATAATAATAATGTGTGAAGGGCCCAGCCTTTCAGCTGGAGGCACTGTGATTCAAATTAGAACAGAATCTATTGTACCACACCTTTTAGACCTACAGTTTATAGTAGGATCCGAACCACTTGGTCCTCAGCCATGCTTTAACAAAATTTTAAAATCCAGTAGAAATTCCAATCCACATTCTCATTGACACCCCCCACCCCCATACCCAAAAAATAATTTTTGACCAACAAAAAAATTTCTTAAAATAATCTTGATGCTTAAAATACTCAGACAGCTTTCTATTACCTTTTGTGTGTGATGAAAATGCAAAGCACCTTTCTTTTCTATGTTTTGCCTTAAAGCTCATTCTCCATCCAATCTCATTGCTATTGTATGATGTCTCGACAAAAATAATCAGAAGTGAGCATTCAGAAGAAGTATAAAAAAAATTATTCCATCAAAAATTTTTCTCCTTATCATTTAATTACCCTTTGGCAATATTTTATCAGAAGAATAAAGAATGGAGAATAATAGAGTAAGGTGGATAAGGATGAAGAAAGCTTCTTACTTACTTACATTGCCACTTGACGCTTTTGTTTGACTTTATAAGCTTTGTTTGCTCTAAGAAATCACAAAATTTTTCGGTATTATTTGAATAAGATTAGTTTATGGAATGATATCCCTTTTTATGGCAATGATAAGATTCTTTTGGGGGGTATTTCATGGAATAAGAAGATAATCGGAGATGGTTTTTAGAAATGTGATTAAAGGATAGATTTTTATGCTCATTTGTTCGTATTTTTTGGGGAATTTGCGGGTTGATGAGATGATTAGTCGAGCTAGAATTGTCTTTTACTACGTTTTTCTTAACTTGCTTTCTTATTTTTGACTCTGTTCGCTGTTGTACTGAACTGTCTATCACTGAATTGAACTATATGAAGTGAAATTTGCCAAAAGAATCAGCTAAGGTCTCTGGAGTCAAGTGGTTCAGGGGCGTAGCCAGAAAATTTTTAAGGGGGGGCCATTTTCGAAAATTAAAAAACCGTTATTTTGTATCCTTAAATCTATATTCATTCTTCATAAGTTTAAATATTTAATTCATTATTCATACTTTAAATTTAATTTTTCGTGCTGATTTTGACTCCCCCCCCCCCCCTGGCTACGCCCCTGAAGTGGTAAGAAGTCAAGTAGGAAGGATAAAGTTCTTGCTTCAGTGAGGAACATGGGTTCGAATCCCATCTATGAAAAGTATTTCTTATGTAAATAAAATTTACCTTTTTTTGCACAATAATTACGAATAAAGAATTTAAACTGGTCAAAATGCTCAAAGACCATCAATAACAACTGATAATTCCTTTTTTTTTTCGGTCTTTATTTATGCGTTCAGAAATCAAAAAGTCCCATATTTCCTCGTTAAATTTCAAAATTTGAATTTCTAAACGCACTCTATAAAATATATTTTTTTGGAAAATTCACATCTAATCAATTAAATGATCTAAACTGGCTTTAGAAAAGTAAACCACAATGACTAAAGCTTAATCAAACAGTTAGTCATATTCTAAACAAAGAATAAGTTGAAATTAAGGCAATTTTTGAAAAACAAATTCAATATTTATCTTTGTAAAATGTTTGATAGTATTAGTGTGGATGGAATTATTTTCAAGATTTCTGTTCGCCACCCCTGGCTTAAAATCACAAAAAACCGTACTTATCAGTACTTATTTCTTCAATTTTATTTTTTGACACAATTATGCTCCATTTAGTAAGCCCTTAAGCATTACAGAATACTTAAAAGAACACATTACAAAAAAAAAGTTTTAACAAAACTACTTTAATTTTAAAATAAACTTAAGAATAAAAGAGAAGTTAAAGGCAAGGCATGAAGGGTGACTTCATCATGCAAATCGCAAGTAGTTTATAAAATTATGTGCTCCCCACCATCCATAAAACATTCTTTTATAGCCTGAACTTTCAGCATAAACTTTTTATGATATCCGATGGCGTGAGCAAAAAATTAAAAGGCTTTTGACATTCAAAATACAAAAAAAATAATTGTAAGCTGTAAGATTTGAAGGTATAAAAGTTATGAGAGGCAAAAAGTAGTTGAATTTGTTCCCATTAGCACCTTAAGCGTCATCAACAGAGCAAAATTATAATTTTTAATGCTATCAAAATAATCTCATGGCAAATAAACTTTCTTAAATATCATATTTTAAATCTTTTTACTGTTTTTGTTGCTGTTCTTGTTGTTTAGTCACGACAAGAAATTATAATTTAAAACAGACATTTTGCTGTCTGACTGCTTTTCCTTACTCATTCAGGCGGGAGAAACGAGAGTGAAAAGAAAGGGGTGAAAAAAATTGTGTCACAACAACATTACATTGACCGTAATAATTATGAGAATGAGTATTAAAACATTTGATGGCGCCTTTTTCAAAACAATTGAAGGTTTTGTCTTTTTGTCTGTCTGTCTGTTGAATGCTAGTCAATTTTTAATTTGAATTCTTTCTTACCGTTATTTTTTAAATATTTTTGGCAGTTATTTTTTAAAATGTTTTTTGACAGTTATTAAAACATTTGTCAGCTTCTATAGTTCTATGCTGAAAAAGTGCACTTTCATCAATCATTGCTGACCATGTCTTCTTTAATGTGCATCTCACTTGCTCCCAACTACCCCCAAACCTTAAAAAAAATTCATTCCTTTTTGTGCTCCTCAACTTTATTTTTCCATGCTTCTCTCTTTTTTTATCAAAATACGTCAAACGTGTCAGTTCTGACATAAAAATAAGGAGAATGAATATAATGGGGAGAGATTTATTATCAAAGCTTTGTCTGTACTTTGAAATGTATTAATTAACATGATTAATTGTTTTGTTGAGAATTTAAAGTGAATGTAATTTATTATGTAGAGGGAGAGAAGAGAATCAGAGAATAGAAAAAAATGGACTTGTGACTTGTGTGAA